TATACGACAAAGAAGGGCTCTGCCTGCGGGCACCTCGGAGCCATCGAGGCTGGGTGTTTTTCGTGTCATAGACACAGGGCTCATTGAGCAGAGAATGCGTGAAGATAGGGACGTAGCGGTGTCTCAGACACGCGAGCCTCATACGAGGCGACAGTAAATGGGATTCGTGAATATTTACAATTTTGATAAGGGAGAGTGCAGCGGGTTACACGTGCCCTGGTATGAAAAGGTGGGTCACATAAGATTTTTTGACTGTACAAAGGTGTTGATTACACAAGTCGGTGTAATCACACAATGGTGTGGCTACACCGTAACAAGAAGCGACGACGTGGCGGGACTGCCAGTAGTTATGCATATTAATTAAGTCTTACTATTTTATTTGGAAAACCTAAGGTTTTAGATACAAGTGGCTCTGTCAAATAAATCCAGTTACAATTTTGAACGGAAGAGTGTATTTGCCTAGGCTAAGGCTTTGGGGGTAGCGGATTGCGATCCGCTGCACTCGTACTGATTCTGGAATTGAACGAAGGTCGGTGGCCTTAAGTAAGCTTAACTTTAAGCAAACAGCTATGACAGCCCCGCTGCAGTCACCTCGTGACAACGATAGGCAATTCTCAAAGACTTCATTGCAGGACCATTGAGCTTATGACTTACAGTCGCCTGTCTCCATTTTCCCTTAAAGGAGTCTGCGACACATAATCGCTTTACTTGCATCCGCTGGATGTTGCTCGAAAGACTGGAACAGATAGTCGCTTTTATACGTTAATTCTTTGTGGCGTGATATAAGTCCGAGGGACAAAAATGTGAGGTGCACGTACACCGCATTACGGTATGTATCCGGTTTTTGCGCTTCATATCGCTTTGTCATCATGTCCAAGCACATGCAGTCCATCATGCTACCTGACATGCTGGCCGATTTGTTGGTTCCAGGATTTCAGATATGAAAGAAATGTTTCAACTAGTTGAGATTCAATGTGTGAGCGCAAAGGGGGATTCAAAGAGAACGCTTCTAAAGGGAATGACACCCTCAAGGATACGATAACTACAGCCGTTACACTTGAAACTGCACGGTTGGTACAGCTCATCGGTATGTACTCATACTGCAGCGGGGCTGCCGTAGCTTTGCGCTTAAAGGG